TCAAATAGGTCCCCAGATCCTCACTCACATAAGCAAACTGGCCTTGACCCAGGGGTCTGCTTGAATGACATCTCTTCCTGGCAGGAAATATAACATTGTTTGATTTCCTGGAAGTCTGATGATAACTCTTCATCTCCTGAGCTGTGAACGTGCTTGACGGGGCACAGGGTTGTGAGGGGGCGGCAGCCTGAGCTGGACAGTTGTTCCAGTAATTGTTGATTTTTTAGTGTGAAGTGGCTGGAGGCTGGCAGTGTGGAAGCTTTAGAATTTGTTTGTTATGCAGTTTTTGTGGACTTACTAAAAATACTGATGTTCTTGTATTTTTAGTAGAAAATCTGTGTCCCCTTTCATTGTCAGGAGCAAATGTTCCAAAAATGACATTAAGAAAAAGTCCAAGTCATTTGCAGGTTGTTGGTTTTTTTTTTTTTTTTTTGTCTAGGGTTATGCTTTGGGTTTAGGGTTAAGGATTTGCATACATTTTCAAGATTTTTATTTTTATTTTTTTTATTTTGCCATTTCAATTTATTCGTTAGGACAGAGAGAAAGACAGGAAAGGCAGGGGAAAGAGGGGATGACATGTAATAAATGGCCCCTGCAGTAATGAGCCAGCCTTGACCCATGGTACACATTCTACAAGGTGAGCTACCAGGGCATCATTTGTAATAAGGCATATAAAAGAAGGGTTGATTTTTATCAGACATAGGATTAAGTGTCTAGAGAAGCATGAATCCACAATAACGTTATGCCCAATGATTCATCTCATTGTGAAGGTTAACATCAAAAACTCAAAACAAATGTTAGGGTTGTGACTAAAAATGAAGAGAAGTTCTGCCTTATGTTATTTGAGAAAATTTGACAGCTGAACCATGCGGTCCATGTGTATGCCTCCCAACCAATATACTGATTGTACAAGCTTTAGCTGTAAGCTAGAAGCAGGGGGTGTGCCTGTGTGCCCGTGTGTGTTTGTGTTCAGCTCAGCATCTGACTGATCTTTCTGTCATTTCCCTTTAGCCTCTCCCCTTTTCCCTCTCATTTCTGAACTTTAATGAAGCAGGTTCATAAAGCCTCGGTATTAATGGGTTTTTTTTGCTCAGGTTGAAACATTTTGAATGCACACACGAGGCTTTCCCCTCCATTTCTGAGAATCTGTGTTTTATCACGTCGCCTTGAAAATTCTTCCTGAACAGAGTTAGACAGTGTTTGTGTGCAGATGTATTAAATATTTGCCTTGAGTTTTATACTTAACTCTGACGGACTGGTTTATTGGAAGAAAATGTTTTCACTCGTCACACGGTCAGGCAGGAATAAATGTTACAGTTGTAAATAAATCTTCAGCCCATAGTGCAACAACTGTGCCACTGCTGCATTTTTGTGCACAAGCCCACAGAGGAAGTGTTTGGCAGAACTGTCTCATGTTTCTCTCCTTCTAACTTTTGGCTGACATAAGAACAGTTTTGTGACTGTGGCAGAGGCTGTGAGACAAAGTTTAATGTAAGTGGAACTATTTTACCGAGAAGTGTATTCATCGGTGGCCCATAATAACTTGGTTCAAAGAAATTTTTTGTTGTTCTCTGCACCTTATGTGTACTGTTATTTACAGTGGATAATATAATGACTTGAAAACGTTCATTTAAACAATTCAAACTCTGTCCTCGCTCAAATTTAAGATCGAAAGAATAAATTATTAATAAGCTTAGATCCCTGTTTTCATCTATGGAGGCTAAACAGGCTCATCAGTAATGGATGAGAGATGTCTCCATTTTTCTGCCGCTGCTGTGAGAACCAGTCCTTTTAATCCCTCGCTCTCCATGGGAAATCATAGTGTGGCCTGATGTGACTGCTAATGTCCCCGTTAAAAACAATGTGATCTGTTGCTGCAATATGCACAGATACAAATTACAGTGTTGTTTGGGAAAGCTTGCTGCAGATATAGATTAACAAACCAGTTATCTGTATGCAGACTGGGCAGCCCAAATTGATGGTAATTGGCAAACACTACAGACAGTTCCTTGATGATTAAAGTTGGATACCACAAATGTGTTTAGCACCTTATTGGGAAATGATAATGATCTGTTGTGCACAGACGCACAGGCGAGCGAGGACAATTGGAAGAACTGGCTGAAACAAGAATGTGCATCCTTTTGCGATTGAGCTCCATTTTGAACTATTACTTTCCAAATGTTTGCATGCACATCACTGTCTAAAAACAAGTACACATTATGCACCTGACACATTATGTACCTGACTGGCAACAATCCAGCAATTAGTAATTTAACATTCAGTGTTTTCCTACATGAATATTGTTGTCCTCCCATGTGAACATTTGCTTATCCATTTAAATATGCTTTTTATGGAGTCACAGATCCCCAGAACAAACTTTTATATGCTCTCTAATTCGCTTTCTTCCATAAATAAATTTGATTACCATTGGTACTGCACCATATCGGCTTAGCTCTAGTGCTTATTTAGGTATGGTAGAGAAGAAAACATGCTCAATTGCCCATTTTGTTTGTGCAGCTGTGATGAGATTAAAAAAAAACTTCCTCTAAGGGTTTACATAGCTCTTAGGTATTATCTTGATTATTTTTGAAACATGTTCTCATGTCCTCTCTCTACCACCAATTGGACTCATGCCATGTCTGGATTTCAAGTCACATTAAGAACCGTGTCCAACCTTGGCTTGTTCTTTTAAAGCAGTATCAAGATATTTTTTTAAATGAAAAGCATTTAAGCTTTGCCAAGGAGGGAGATAGTCCCTGGGTGCATGAAGGCTCTGGTGATATGCAGAACTTCAGAAAGCCCTTTACGGACTGATGCAATAGAGCTCTTTCTGAACCCTGCAGTTGAGTAATAAAGTTACCGTGAGTCACTGATCCCACAGAGGAATCTGGGATAAATCTGGTTTCTCTCCTGAAAAAAACAAGGCTTTGGCGCTCCACCACCATGTAGTGCCTCTTCTTCTTCCATTATGATTTATGTGTTCATGGGTAACTACATTTTCTGACCTCCATTGATCATCAGGTCACCGTAATGGTTTGTTGGTCATTGCTTGCTGAGTTTTTTTCTTTTTGTGTGTCTCCAAGGTTTTTATGCAGCACAAAAAAGATGATTGCCAAGCCAGTTATTTCCTTTTGATTACCAGTGTTCACCTTGAGGCATTCAGTAACTGATTAATGTTGAGACAAAAGAAATGAAATACTTTTCCTATTTCCTCTCCCTCTGGGAATGACAAAACCGTTACTCATACTGGCAAGGGCTTGTTCTGCGACTTGGAAACTCGTAGAGCATATCAAGGTGAAAAAATGTGGTAATGAACGCAAAATAATCATTATTAGTTATCTGTTCTTTCAAAAAGTTGTCCATCCTGCAATTTCCGTTTAATTGATGGGCTGGGATGCTTTGGTTGTTTGTATTTCATTACATGTGTGATGTATCTGCGATATCTCAGCCTTTTTTAGAAGTGCTTATATTTTTGTTTTTCTTTGTTTAGCTCTTTGTATTTGAGACATCAATGACATGCAACATCAATCATCATGGTGTTGTCTGATTCCAGGATTGTTAGTTTCTGACTCTTAGTGTGAATCCCTTTTTAATTTTAGAATGAAGGACTGACACTTGAGAAATGTGAATAGACAAAAGTACAACCGAATGCAGATATGCAGAGGCGATGCAATATAGCCAATGGGATTGATGGTTTTATATGAAAACACGAATGATTTTCCATTCTGTCCATCTGCAGTTAGGATATCTTGTTGTAAATGTGTTGAAATTGTTGAAAGTGTAACCCAAGTTTTCACAACCAGATGTTTTTGTATGCTTCACTCCCGTTAGTGGCAGAATAATCACTCTTGCAATGTTTATGTTGGAGTTTCAAAGGTAAATGTATTTTTTATGTTGTTTGTTTCAGAGGGTTCACAGAACGCCATGATGAATATTCATTGCCAAAAAAAGACTAATCTATAGTCACAATATTTTACAAAGGCATGTTTTCAATATGATATGACCGTTTCTTTAATATTTTCCCATGATCTGATCAAGGCTGCTCAACTTCAGCCCAAAAGGTGTGTAAAAAGAGGATTGAAAACACAGACGAGTATGTCTGATTTGCATTTTGTTTTTGTTTTCTTTGTTTTGTTTTTGTGGGTTATGTTTTATATAAAGGTTCAGTACTTATTGGTTGGTTTGAACTGGTTTTAGGACACAGACTCTCTGCTGGCAATTCAAGACACTGGTAATCTCTTCTTACCACCTACTTGCATTTTTTTGCTCAAAGACGGAGCATGGTGCTGTGGGCAAGAGAGCAGCATCACAACATATCATCACAACATTTACCATAGAAAAAGGCTGTAATGTTACCTTCTTCGGCTGAAAAAGCAAATGTGCATGTGATTTGTATGTTGATGTATTACTGCCTCCCAAGAGGTTTCTCTTGGATTTTAGCTACCTTAGTGGCTATTACAGACCATTGTAGCTCAAGGGAATGGCACAACTGTAGTGAATGCCTCAGTCCTTGATAACTTAATGCACCTTTTGCCATTATACTGATGACAATAATCTGTCTAGATAACTTTGCTAGACAATTGTATGCAGTACATAATGCAGCTAGTGAATGCCTGCTGCAAAAACTCCTTTCTGTCTCCTTAAGAATGCCATAATTGAACAGCCTGACCATTGCTAGTGGACAAAAGAGATATGAGAGGCAATTTTTTTGGGATACATGTGACAGATGGGTCCAAAAACACTGAGCAAAGTCAAAGGGCATCTGGAAATGGAATAAAGCAATCCATGGACTCAGCATATCCATCATTTTCTATGGATTTCAATCTGAAATGTCAGGTTGCCAATCAATACAGCGGAACTGATCCTCAGCATTTCATATAGTCATCTCAAGCTCAATGACTGAGGATTTGACAAATCAAAAAACCCTTCAAAGACTCATAACATGATTGTTATATGATTTTATTAATGTGAAATATCATTCCACAGACATAGAAGAGGAACATCGGGTGGAGTCAATGAACAGATATCACATGGTTAATAAACATTTTTGCAAGATCCAAGACAGGTATCAAAGTACAGTACAATGGAAACAGAACATTCAATAGACTATCAACATGTTCATACAGTTTTTTTCATCTGCAAAAAGAAAATAAATATTGTTTTGTACATTTTGCTCTGGTGATAAATTATAAACCTGTGATTGGTGTATATCTATGCACAATGCCAAAGTGTCTCAAAGAATAAGGCAACAATTCAAATTATTATAATAACTTTATTCCCCATGAAGATGTTCCCCCAGTAGTGATATAATAGAAAACTAAGGAGACAATATCATTTATCAGTCAGTTAATATTCTAGTCCTTCACATTCTTATCACAAAAATAGATACATCTATGGTAACGTAATTCTTTTTATCTGGAAATGGATGAACAATCATGGCGGTGAGTTGTTGTTGTTGTTGTTGTTGTTGTGCGCTGCAGCACATCTTAAAGTGCAAAATGGAAACAAAAGTATTTGTTAATAAATGGGCTTTTTCTCTCTCTTTTTCTAAGTGTGTCCCCTCAGAGTTGACACTTTTGACAAATTGCCCGGGTGCATCAGATAATCGTTATCCCGCCTGGCTCTGGGCGATAGGATAGTCTAATTTTGTTGCCTCTGTGAGGTTCTGGCTCTTGTGTGAAATCCAAGTTTGGGGAGCTGCCAATAGCAATCCTAAAAAGGGATATTCATAAGATGTGAATTATTTAGATCTCTATTCTGCAGTGTCTAGTTTTTGAGGGTGTGCTGATGGGCCTTTTTTTTTCTTTTACCTTTCCAAACATGTCTTGGCCCTGTCAAATTTTCAAATTTGGTTTTGAAACAAATGTGTTTTAACTGAATCTTTGACTTCTGTCTCTGGTTCTTCTCAATTACTCTAATATTAATTTCATCATTATGTGGCCCAGTCACAAATCCCTCCAAAGCTTTGGTTGAAGTTGGTTTATGTACAACACACATTGACAGTGACAGACCTTACCCAGATGCATGCACAACAATCTAAACTACGTTCGATCAAATTCATGTGATGCTTCACAGATATTAATGTTTTATTGCAATAGTTTACACCATTTGGCCCCTGTCAAACACCAATGCACTGGGCAGCTTCTGACAGCCAGGTTACCAACCATCTGTCTGATCTTTGTATCTCACTGAATAAAGAGGGTTGTCTTCTGTTTGAACATCAGAACCAATGTCTATCTTGTATTGCCAAAACATTAATTTGAAAAGTGCTATAGAACATTTGACCACAACAGTTCAGGTCCATAGATGCTGAACGTTTTTGAAGCTTCATGTCTGTTCAAAGCATTGTTAGATGTTTATTTTACACACATTTATTGCTCCATAGCAACTCATCCAGATGGAAAATAACTTTTTTTTTTTTAAGAACAAAATACATTCCTGCATGTTTGTATCAACGCTACCAACCAGATCAGTTTTGATGCATATTCTTTAAATGGTTCAGTTGCACACGTCTTGAAGCGGTATGCTTTTCTGTGGCAGTGAAAGATGAATATTAGGCGCCCAGGGGCGGAAAAAGGTCCTCAGCTTAGCAATCCCGCAGCTATTTTTTACGAGCATGTACTAAAGCAGCCCTTCTTTTTCATGCAGTTGTATGCTTTACTTTTGTTGTGATTGCTGATACCCTGCACCACACACAATTGCTCACAGTCATTAAGTAATTTAAAACAGTTCTGTTACACAGTCATAATGATTAATACACGGATAAGAACTTTTACAAATGTGTCAAGACAACTGTTTAAATCCATGCATTTCATGCATAGATGATGGTCATCACTGATGCCTGCAAAGCCTCACTGTGGAGACAGAGAGTCAAGTGTTTTCTGCATGTCCAGTCACGTTCCAGCCAGTTACCTGTCCATACACTTTCCTTCTGAGAGCTGTTAACCTGCTTCACCCTGCTCTATCCTCTGAAGCTATGCAGCCTGTGAATGAGTGAAACTATCCACACAATCATATGCGCCTCCCTGCAAACTCTTTTATCTGTTTCTTACCAAGCTATTATTTTTTCCCAAATGGTTTTTGAACAATGTTGCACTACATACAATATCTCCACAAGACTGTGCACTCAAGACCTTGTATGAAACACTTTCCAGCCTCAGGAATAGATTTTCTCCAATGTCCCTACAATATTTCATAGATTTATTTCTACTTGTTTTATAATAAATCGCATGGTACACTGGACAAATACAAACTCAACACTCACTACACTTCTCTCTATAGCTGCCACCATACTGAATGCAACACTGCTCAAATGCACATAGCTAATGAATACTAAATGTTGTATTACGAAGAGTGATATGTATAGTCAGTTGTCCAAGTCGAACACACTGCTGTCTCTTTGTATGTGAGGTCCTGTTGTCCTTGAAACTTTGTATGCAGTCAGCATGTCTCTGACTCCAAGACAGATTCCTGCACATAGCGTCCTTGGTGACTCCAGTTATTCTACAGTCATATGTTGGCCTGTTTTACAGCTGTGTGATTGTCTGTTGTGTTTGTTTGTTTTTTTAGCTTCATCTCCTCATTCATTTATCAGTGAGGCAGCCTTTAGTTGGTGGTAGAGGCTGAAAGTCCCGCTGCTCCTATTTCATGCCGCTCCTCAGCACCTGATTGGCTGCGATGAGCATGACGCTGATGATAAAAGCGATGGCAAAGGCGCATATCAGGCTCTTGCGCACACAAGTTTGCTTGACTTGCTGCGTTGGGCTGGAACCTGAGAGAAACAAAGAGGTGTTATTTACTGCTTGAGAGATATCTGATACTAATTTCCAAATGAAAGAGCTCACCACAAAACCTTACAATTAAAACAGAACACAATTATAAGGGATGCACACTGCCAAGAAGATTGGTTTTCACACCTGTACGCTGCGTAACTGCATCTAGATTGAAATGTTGATTGTTGAGTTTTGGAACAACAAACAAATGGATTGATGCCTGACTGGCATATTAAGGGGTGCTCATAAAAAACAGCACTCCAAGAAAAGGTGTAGTATACCTTAAGAATCATCTGAAGTAAGGACCAGGGCAGATAGAATCTGTTGTACCTTTTTGGGGTTTTTTTCCAAATAGGAGATATGTCAAATTACTTAAAATTGATCTTGCTTTTGATTTATCTTTGCTGTTTCCTGAGATAAAAAAGTGTTTTTCCAACAGAAAAGAAAAGATTGTAATCCTTGTAAATCATAGAATGGGTTTGTAATGGTCCCAACAATCATTACACCTTCACATTAGATAAATTACCATATAAAAAGCAAAGCATCCTCAATAACAG